GAAAACAGGCAGTCTTGCTACGCTTTCTGTTCATGTTTTTCATTCAGATGCTAACAAAGTCTAGATGGTGAATGATGGCACCTTAGAATAAAAAGATAAAAGATATAATGTGGTGATATTGGAGGCCGGTAAGCAAAATTGCATACTCGTTCATCATTGAGGGCGCATAGCAGAGGAAAAGAAATGAAAAGACACCGCATTAGCCTCCGCAGCGCAATCTTTTGAGATAATCAATGGCGACCGGAAGCATAACCGGTTCACGTGACCCACGTCTGACAGTCACAAGCCAGAGTTTTGCAGGCTGGGCGGTGCTCTGTGAAATAGCACCGAATATTTATTATTACTTGGATATTTGATCTGGTTGGGGAGGGGGGGGGGTGTTGTATCCTTTACTACATCGCTTATTATGTTGGACGTTTGTTTTGTTGATTTATTTGTTTGTTCGTTTATTTATTTGTCGATTTGTTTGTTTGTTTGTTAATGACACCACAACCTTTACTAATATCCATAGAGAATCAGTGGGCAGACAATATCACTCTGCAATGTTTATAATTATATTACTGATAATGTGTTTTCTACTATTCGAGGCTCACCACCCATTTGGCTCAGTCCAGTCGGAGATGGATGTTAAAATCAGAGGCCCAATCTTGTAGATAACCTTAAAAGTGTTGAAACCCATGCCTTCCGATACATTGTCTTATCAATCACCTACTTGCTGGACTGTTTATTTCCTTTTTCCACCATTCCGTCTCTCAGTTATCGGTTAGTATTCTATTCTATGTCACTAATATCTTTCCACTGACGTCTGTGGTGTAGCAGCAAGGCACGTCAGCGTCTCACACAGAAGACTTAAGTTCGATTCCCGTATGGAAAAAATTTGTATCGAATAACGCGGTCTTTGTGCTGGGATGTTGTATCCAGCTAAGTTCGTGTGTTCCCTGACATGCAGGGTCGAAGCCTGCCTGCCTCTTAGGTGATTTAAATTAGGTCGAAGGAGGCGTAAATTCCCACACAAATCAAACAAACTAATGAAAACATTTATTATTTCATCATATTGACCATATACACTCGTCGTCGCCCGGCGAGAGATCGATTTGAGGTCCTTGTGGTCTGCTCCTCTAACTTCATTTCTGTACCCTTTTCCTTCATAATTCCCGACGAAACTGTACTTTATTTACTTTGAAATGTAATGATGGAAAGACGTTTACTATAGCCAAAGAAAAACAACTTTAGCAATGGCCTCCTTCCCTTTGATATCCACTTTTCAGCTTTGTGCACTAAATTTTATTATTTTTTCCCCCTGAAAAATACAAATAGAACAAACGAACACAAACAAACAAAAACTAAACAGCATCAAGAAAACTACCTTACTTCGGGGGGCTCTCGTGGCCTAGAGGTTAAGGTGTTGGCCTCTCATTCAAAGGTCCCGGGTTCGAATCCGGGTAGTGACCGAAAATTTTAATTGTCTAAATTTGATTCCTTTCACCTCCTTTCCTGCTCTCTAGCAATGTTCTGTCGTCTGCTTTCGTTTCCTCTTTCTGCCCCCCCCCCTCATCTCCTT